CACCACGGGCCCTACGCGAGCGATGACCCTTCGCTCCAGTTCTCGCCCTCCGAGCTGGGCTTCCTGCCCTTTGACATGGAGGTGTCGGAGCCGGAGCCCCGGGAGCTGGCCGTGCAGAACGCCAAGGCCTACCTGCTGCAGACCAGCATCAGCTGCGACCTGAGCCTGTGAGAGGGCGCCCCCAGCTGGGCTCCTCCGTCCGGGGATCGCTCCGGAGCCATCGCACTCGGACTGAATACTATCAGTAGCTGGAAAGCCAATCCTTACTCAGCAGGCATTGTGCCGGCCCTGCACACGTCGCCCTTAATGCTCACATCACAGCTGAAATGGGCACCTCCACTGTCCCTATTTTAGAGGCGGAAACAGACACAGAAATGAGGGCCCGCATCCCGGATAACACAGCTCCAATGTAGCAGAGCCGGGATTCCCGCACAGATGATTTGGGGGGGGGGGGGGGGGGGTGCTATTTACTAAACTTTCCTGCTGGAGGAAGGCACTAGCCAAGGCCACTTGGCTGTAGTCATAATGCATCCCTCAGCCCCCTTCCCCATGACCTCCTCATGGAGCTCACATTCTAGAGGGAGAACGGACAATGAATACAATGCATGGTAAGGTGAGAAAATAAGGCAGGATGCGGGGAGCGGGAGCGCTCGGTAAAGAGCATAAGGTCAGGGAAGGCCTCGCTGAGCAGCCAAGTGACCAGTGACCTGAGCATGGTGAGGGAGAGCACCTTGCCAACAACGAAGCGTATGGGACACAGCGAGTCTGAAGGCTTTAAGGGTGGCTGAGTTTGAGGCACAGCGAGGAAGCTGGTGTGACTAGAGCTAGGGGAGGAGATGAGGTTGCAGAGGTCACAGGTCTTGCTAAAGCACAAAGCAGACCCCCATTCCTCCCATGCTCAGAACCTGCCGTGGTTCCCCAGTGTCCTCAAAAGAGGGTTCATGTTCCTCACAGGCCTTAAATATAACTCAGCCCCTGCCTGCTCCCCAAACTTCATCTCCTAGAGCAGCGGTTCTCAACCTGGGGGTCGCGACCCCTTTGGGGGTCAAACGACCCTTTCACAGGGGTCGCCTAAGCCCAGCGGAAAACACAGATATAATTACATATTGTTTTTGTGATGAATCACTATGCTTTCATTATGTTCAATTTGTAACAATGAAATTGGGGGTCACCACAACATGAGGAGCTGTATTAAAGGGTCGCGGCATTAGGAAGGTTGAGAACCACTAGAGTCAGTCAGAATCAACCAGTCACACTTCCCCAGCAGTTCCCAGCCCCTTAGAGCTTCAGGTTCCCTTACTGAAAAGCCCTGGCCAGATGCCGACCTCTCCTTACCCTTCCAAATGGATGGCCCTCCACCACACCCAAGACGTTGCCAAAGGGTTTCCACGCCACAGGCGTTTGGATATACACCCTGTGGAAGCAAACCAGTTGGTCCTGGTGTTAAATCCTGGCTGTGCTACCAAATACAATTAGACCTCACATTTCCTAAGCCGCAGTTTCCTCATCTGGAGGGTGCGGACCATCATTGTTCCTCATATGACTGCGGTGAGAATTCAACACTGCTCTCAGGCGCCCAACATACCGCCTGACTTGGTGAATGGAAACCATTGCCATACGGTTATCACTCCGGCCTCCTCTCCTACCACAGCCCTTCTCCCTCCTCCCCTCCAGCCACCCCGACCTCCTCCGTGTTCCTTCCACGTGCTAGGCACACCCTCAGCTCTAGGCCTTTGCACGTCATTCCCAATCACATCATCTATGAGCCATGACAGTTTTGCCTCTTCCTTTTCAATACTTCTCTTTTTCATGTCAGATTGCATTGGCTGAAGCCTCCAGTGCAGAATTAAATAGAAGTGAAAGCAGGCATCCCCAATCGCATAATGGAAAGCACTATAGTCTTTTGTCATGTTTGGTGTGTGCTGTAGGTTCCTTGTAGCTATCCTTTACAAGATTATTTAAAATTTGCCTTCTATTCTTGGTTTCCTAGGCTCTTAAAAATCATGAACGGGTGTTGAATTTTATCAAACAACTAGAGGCCCAGTGCATGAAATTCATGCACTTGGTGTGTGTGTGGGGGGGGGGGGGTCCTCAGCCTGGCCTGTGCCCTCTTGCAGACCAGGAGCCCTCAGGCGATGTCCAGGGGGAGCGGACCTAAGTCGTCAGTCGGACATCCTTAGCGCTGCCGCGGAGGCGGGAGAGGCTCCTGCCACTGCTGCTGTGCTCTCCAGCTGTGAGCCTGGCTTCTGGCTGAGCGGCGCTCCCTCTGTGGGAGTGCACTGAACACCAGGGTGCAGCTCCTGTGTTAAGCGTCTGCCCCCCGGTGGTCAGTGCGCGTCATAGCAACCGGTCGTTCTGCTGTTTGGTTGATTTGCATATTAGCTTTTTATTATATAGGATTTCTCTGCACCTATTGAGGTGATCTTACAGAGCCCCTTTAACACACTGTCATGACGAGTTATAGTTTTTTCTGTTTTTCTAACATCCGTCCAGTCTTACATCCCTGTCAATTCGTCCAGTTTAACCATGGCGTGTCATCCTTTTGAGCAATTGCTGGATGCCATTTTGCTTAGGATTTCAGCATCTCTTTCCTAAATGAGGTCAGCATGGAATTATTTTCCTTCCTCCTGCTGAAAATTGCAAACCAGCACCTATCCCGGGCATTCCCAGTCCCATTCCCTGCTTTATTGTCTCCTTAGAAATTATCACCCCTGACAGTATGTATTTTGCATATTTGGTTAATGTCTGTCTCCATCATCAGAATGTCAGCTCCACTCGGGCAGGGATCTTGTCTCCTCTGCTGTGTCCCCAGGGCCAGGCCCAGGGCCCGGCATAGAGCAGTGAGCCGAGCGAATAATGTCCCCCACCTCCCACTCCCTCCGGAGGCAGGTATGAGCACCTGGTGAACATGCTGACCAAAATCCTGAACCAGCGCCCAGAGGATCCCTTGGCCATCCTGGAGTCGCTGAACCGCACGACACAGTTGGAGTGGTTCCACCCCAAGCTGGACTCGCTGCGGGATGACCCCGAGATGCAGCCCACCTACGAGATGGCCGAGAGGCAGAAGTCGCTGTTCGTCCGGGGCGGCGGCAGTGCGGAGGGCGAGCAGGAGATGGAGGAGGAGGTGGTGAGTGAGCCAGTGGGGAGGCGTGGCGGGTGAGTGGCGGCCCAGACTTGGGCATCGCCTGTGCTGAAGCCTGGAAGGGAGGGAGCCTGTGGACTCCAGACATGCAGATGATCTCAGTTTAATGTGTGTGTCCAGGGGAGGGGCCGGGACCCTGTCACAGAGGGCTAAGGGATGCAGGCTTTCTCCCGAGGCCACTGGGGCGCCTTGGAAGGTCTGGAAGCCGAGGAAAGGCTGGTCAGCTCCGCTCTTTGGGAAGCCGACTCCAGCTGCCATGTGGAGGTGGAGGCTGGCCTCTCCCACCCTCCCTCACTCCTCCCTCCCCCAAAATTCCAGCTTTGCAGTGTTTTCTGTGGAACACCGCCTCCTGGGATCTCTCAGCACTGAATTGTCCCCTACCCCCTGGCCTCGGTTTCCCCTTTTATAAGTTGAGACCTGCCAAGAACTCTCCCACTGACTCGTTTCCAGAATTGGATGACTGCTTAAAATTCGGGTGGAGTCTTCTTTCACTCGTTCAAGAAACATTTGTTGAGGACTCTCTGTTTATGATCACTCTGACGCCTCTGACGCCCTCTGCGAAGACCTCCAGGAGTGTTGGCTCCTTTCAACCCTGAAACAACCCGCAAGGCAACTGCTGCTTATTATATTCGTACTAGAGGCCCAGTGCACGGATTTGTGCACCGGTGAGGTCCCTCGGCCTAGCTTGTGGGGATCGGGCCAAAACCGGCTCTCCGACATCCCCCAAGGGGTCCCGGATTGCGAGAGGGCGCAGGCCGGTCCAAGAGACCCCACAGGTGCACAATCGGGGCTGGGGAGGGACGCAGGAGCTTGGCCAGCTGGGGAGGGACCACAAGAGGGCTCCAGGGCATGTCCAGCCCGTCTAGCCCAGTCCCGATCAGCCAGACGCCAGCAGCAAACTAACCTACCGGTCGGAGCGTCTGGCCCCTGGTGGTCAGTGTGTGTCATAGCTAATGGTTGAACGGTGGAATGGTTGGTTAGGCTTTTATATGTATAGATAGATTTGTAGAAGAAGGACTTGGGCTCAGAGGGAACCAGGAAGGCAAGACCTTGGCCTCCAAAGCTGTGCTAAGCTCTGCCCAGGCTGCAGATGCTTGTTTGTCTGTGCTGGCTTCTGAGATGCTAGGATTCTGGCGAGAGTGGGGTGGGCTGGTGAGAGAATCTATCTATACTTATAAAAGCCTAAACCAGGAACAACAATCTGGCAAAGAAATGAGCCCTGGTGAGCAGAGTGCACTTGAGAATACAAGTTTTAGGCACGAAGGGGGACAGTTTAGTTTTATTTGAGAAAATAGTTTTGCGTTTCAAATCGACAGTCTCTCCTGGGGTGGCCCCACCCCCTTAGAACTGCACCTTTCCTCCTCCACACCCCAACCCCACACACTGATCAACTCCCTTAAGGCCCCGCCTCCTCAGAATGCTTTACCCCCAGAGGCTCCGCCTCCTTAGAACTCCGTGGCTTTTGAAGCTCCGCCCCATTGAAATTAAATCTCTTGGGAGGGTCTGCCTCTTAGAACTTGGAGTTGGAGTTCTTCTTCTTTTTTAAATTGATTTCAGAGAGGAAGGGAGAGGGAAAGAGAGATAGAAACATCAGTGATGAGAGGGAATCATTGATTGGCTGCCTCCTGCATGACGGGATCGTGCCCACAACCTGGGCATGTGCCCTTGACCTGAATCAAACCCAGGACACTTCAGTCCACAGGCTGATGTCCTATCCACTGAGCCAAACGGGCTAGGACAGACGGAACTGGAGTTCTTAATGTGAGGTCTGCAGAAGGGCAAAATGTGGAAGTTTGTGGTCTGTGCAGGCTTCTTGGAAGAGACTCCAAGGAATTGATGACTCAGCATTTACCTGAATATAAATTCTGTCTGATGGGAGGAAGGGCTCTCACTCTCTCATTTTCTATTTCTTTCCGTGGCTAGCCATGACTCCCCTGCTGAGAAATGCCGCCTCTGCCATGGACGTTTACCTGTGCAGGACGCTCGGTCTGTTTCTGGACTCGCCACTCCAGCGGTTCTCAACCTGTGGGTCGCGACCCCTTTGGCGGTCGAACGACCCTTTCACAGGGGTCGCCTAAGACCATCCTGCATATCAGATATTTACATGACGATTCATCACAGTAGCCACATGACAGTGATGAAGTAGCAACGAAAATAATTTTATGGTTGGGTCACAACATGAGGAACTGTATTTAAAGGGCCAGAAGGTTGAGAACCGCTGCTCTAGTCTGTGCCTTCGCTCTCTGGCTGGCTTCCTGCTTGCTGTGGTCAGCGCCTCAGAGCAGGGATGGCTGTTTGGGAGCCTGAGGCTCTCGTCACTGTGGCCTCTGTTGTGAAAAGTTCCTATTTCCACGTTTACAATCTTAGACTAGCTCTAGTACAGTGATGGCGAACCTATGACACGCGAACTCATTTTTTGGGTTGATTTTTCTTTGTTAAATGGCATTTAAATCTATAAAATAAATATCAAAAATATAAGTCTTTGTTTTACTATGGTTGCAAATATCAAAAAATTTCAATATGTGACACGGCACCAGAGTTAAGTTAGGGTTTTTCAAAATGCTGACTCGCCGAGCTCAAAAGGTTTGCCATCGCTGCCCTAGTATTATGGTGTCACAGCCCAAACACTAACACCTTCCTCTACTTGCTGGGCGTACAGGTCACGTTAAGGCAGGAAGCAGGTGATGTCGCAGAAAGAGAGACGTGTGGCTGAGACGAGAAACAGGCTTTCCTCACACCTGAGAGTCAGGTTGCAAGCAGTCCTGGGCTGGCAAGGTGGCTCCCAGCAAAGGGGCACTGAGGGCTGGCTGTCTCCTCCCCTCACCCCTGCCCTCCCGCCCCGAAAGGAGCAGTGTGCAGGGGGGAGCCGCAGAGTCTGGTCTGTCATTCGGGGGCAGTTGACCACTCTTGCTCCAATCAACAGTGGCCGGAAGGGCAGGGTGAGACGGTTTAGATGTGGTTGTGTTGTAGGCAGTGGGAGCCGCACCAGGTGTGAGACCGGTGGGGTGGGACCAGACCTGGGTTCTGGCTAGGAAAGAATTCAGAGCCAAGACTCAAACTATAAGAGAACATTTACATATAAAATCACAGAGGTAGAGAGAGTAATTCGTAGAAGAAATGGGCTGAGGAGAGGATTATGGAGGCAAAGGAAGGGCCCTTGGAGCTGGGGGGTGAGTGGAGAGCGGGATGGGAAAGACACTGGTGTGCTCCCAGGAGGGAGAGCGACCTGGGTCCTCCCTCCTCAGGGTTTTCAGGGTGATTTTATTTATTTTTTAAAATATATTTTAATTATTGTTTTCAGAGAGGAAGGGAGAAGGATAGAGAGTCAGAAACATCAGTGAGAGAGAAACATCAATCAGCCGCCTCCTGCACACTCCCTACAGGGGATGTGCCCGCAACCAAGGTACATGCTCCTGACCGGAATCGAACCCGGGACCCTTGAGTCCACAGGCCGACGCTCTATCCACTGAGCCAAACCGGTTAGGGCTGCACATCCCTTTTGCCATGTAAGCTCACGTGTTCACAGGCCCCAGGAGCAGGACATGGACTTCTTTGGACGATCATTATTCCGCCCACCCAGCACCCCCCCTTTCTCTCCATCCTGACTGTGTGTCCCCTGCTCAGTCGGGCTGGCCAAGGCCGAGGGCAGGTTGTGCCAACCTCCTGAGCATCAGCTTTGTTCTCTGATACATGTTAGTGCGCACACTAGTTTGGACCTGGTGCTCATTGGATCTTTAATAAAGATTTCTGGACTGACTGAATGAAGAAATATCGGGACAGCCTTGTGGCCGAATGAAGATGGGGCAATTGGGCCAAATGAATATGGGGCAATTGGGCCGAAACCTCCCTGTAGTCTAGTCCCAGCCCTTGACTTTCTTGTTATTACTCCCTTTCTGCTCTCTCTCTCTCTCTCTCTCTCTCGTCCTGAACAAAGCAGACGGTCAAAAAGGAGGCAGTGAGGGCAAGATTTGTCACCGCCATCCTCCAACATCACTGATTCCTGGGTTCAAGACCTGCCTCTTAATTTGCTGCGTGATTTGGGGGTGTCTCTTAAAAGTGCATTTAGTTGCAAGTAACAGTAAACATGACCAGCGGTGGGGAGGTAAGGCAGCTCACCGAGGACCAGGCCGTTTCCACCTGTCAGCTCCAGCACCGTGAGGGCGGAAGACATGAGTTGCCTCATGGTCCCAATATAGCTGCTGCAACTCCAGCTCTCACATCCCACTCCAGGCAGGAACGAGAGGGAAGGAGGAAGAAACAAAGGACTTTTTCTGAGTGTGATTTTGCCTTTTCCCTCAAGGGACATCCTCCCCAAGGACTTGCCCCGCTTCTAAATGCCAGAGGGCGGCAGGAGCGGCTGGGTTACCCAGGACTTGAGCTCTCTGGCCTCCAGAAGAGGCAGGCCAGGGAGCAGAACTCCAGCTTCCTCCCCTCTGCCCTCCCCCCTCCCCTCTGCAGGTAGACACGGCCGTGCCCAACGTCATGGAGTCGGCCTTCTACTTCGAGCAGGGTGGCGTGGGCCTGAGTTCCGATGAGAGTTTCCGCCTCTTCCTGGCCCTGAAGCAGCTGGTAGAGCAGCAGCCCATCCACACCTGTCGCTTCTGGGGCAAAATCCTGGGGCTCAAGCGCAGCTACCTGGTGGCCGAGGTGGAGTTCCGGGAAGGCGAGGAGGAGGTGGAGGAGGAGGAGTTGGAGGAGCTGACCGAGGGTGGCGAGATCATGGATGCCCACGGCGAGGAGGAAGGCGAGGAGGACGAGGACAAGGTCGCCGACATCATCCCCAAGCCGCTCTGGAAGCCACCGCCTGTCATCCCCAAGGAGGAGAGCCGCTCCGGCACCAACAAGTACCTGTACTTCGTGTGCAATGAGCCCGGCCGGCCGTGGACCAAGCTGCCACACGTCACGCCCAACCAGATCGCGCAGGCCCGCAAGATCAAGAAGTTCTTCACCGGCTACCTGGACGCGCCGGTCATCAGCTACCCGCCCTTCCCGGGCAACGAGGCCAACTACCTGCGGGCCCAGATCGCGCGCATCTCCGCGGCCACACACATCAGCCCCCTGGGCTTCTACCAGTTCAACGAGGAGGAGGGTGACGAGGAGGAGGAGGGCGGCGCTGGGCGAGACTCCTTCGAGGAGAACCCGGACTTTGAGGGCATCCCCGTGTTTGAGCTGGTGGACTCCATGGCCAACTGGGTGCACCACATGCAGCACATCCTTCCGCAGGTGAGAACCCGGCCCCCGCCTGTCCCAGAACCAGGGGCTCAGGTGTGACTCCCCCGTAATATCAGTATCAGTAGCTCTCTGCTGGCCATGGTGCTGAGCCCTCCCTCATTCATTCACTCATCCATCTGTTCCTCATGCACTCGTTCACTCAAAGGTAAGTCAGAATCCTTTGGGGCCAGAGGCATCTGGGAGTTCTGAATTTTTCAGGTTTTAGAAAGGTCACGGCACGTCCCATGTAGCGTGCCACGCCTCAGGCAAGGCGGGGGCTGCAGCCGCGCTCGAAGGCCCCATCGCTCCTTCTGCAGCAAAACTGCCCGGCCTCCCTCCCGCCGCTCAGGTCAGGGGCGCTGCCAAATGACTCAGGACAGACTTCTGATTCTCAGAGCTTTTCGGGTTTTGGTGCTGGTTGTGGATAGGAGATTGTGGACCTGCATTTATTGAATGCCTGTGTGTCTGAACTTTATGCCCACTTATTTACTCATTCAAGGAAACACTGGCTATAGGCTTAGGATCATTCATTCATTCACTCATTCAATACATAGTTAATGACTTCACTAAATTTAAGCTGTGTGATTTGGGGGTGTCTCTTAAAAGTGCATTTAGTTGCAAGTAACAGTAAACATGACCAGCGGTGGGGAGGTAAGGCAGCTCACCGAGGACCAGGCCGTTTCCACCTGTCAGCTCCAGCACCGTGAGGGCGGAAGACATGAGTTGCCTCATGGTCCCAATATAGCTGCTGCAACTCCAGCTCTCACATCCCACTCCAGGCAGGAACGAGAGGGAAGGAGGAAGAAACAAAGGACTTTTTCTGAGTGTGATTTTGCCTTTTCCCTCAAGGGACATCCTCCCCAAGGACTTGCCCCGCTTCTAAATGCCAGAGGGCGGCAGGAGCGGCTGGGTTACCCAGGACTTGAGCTCTCTGGCCTCCAGAAGAGGCAGGCCAGGGAGCAGAACTCCAGCTTCCTCCCCTCTGCCCTCCCCCCTCCCCTCTGCAGGTAGACACGGCCGTGCCCAACGTCATGGAGTCGGCCTTCTACTTCGAGCAGGGTGGCGTGGGCCTGAGTTCCGATGAGAGTTTCCGCCTCTTCCTGGCCCTGAAGCAGCTGGTAGAGCAGCAGCCCATCCACACCTGTCGCTTCTGGGGCAAAATCCTGGGGCTCAAGCGCAGCTACCTGGTGGCCGAGGTGGAGTTCCGGGAAGGCGAGGAGGAGGTGGAGGAGGAGGAGTTGGAGGAGCTGACCGAGGGTGGCGAGATCATGGATGCCCACGGCGAGGAGGAGGGCGAGGAGGACGAGGACAAGGTCGCCGACATCATCCCCAAGCCGCTCTGGAAGCCACCGCCTGTCATCCCCAAGGAGGAGAGCCGCTCCGGCACCAACAAGTACCTGTACTTCGTGTGCAATGAGCCCGGCCGGCCGTGGACCAAGCTGCCACACGTCACGCCCAACCAGATCGCGCAGGCCCGCAAGATCAAGAAGTTCTTCACCGGCTACCTGGACGCGCCGGTCATCAGCTACCCGCCCTTCCCGGGCAACGAGGCCAACTACCTGCGGGCCCAGATCGCGCGCATCTCCGCGGCCACACACATCAGCCCCCTGGGCTTCTACCAGTTCAACGAGGAGGAGGGTGACGAGGAGGAGGAGGGCGGCGCTGGGCGAGACTCCTTCGAGGAGAACCCGGACTTTGAGGGCATCCCCGTGTTTGAGCTGGTGGACTCCATGGCCAACTGGGTGCACCACATGCAGCACATCCTTCCGCAGGTGAGAACCCGGCCCCCGCCTGTCCCAGAACCAGGGGCTCAGGTGTGACTCCCCCGTAATATCAATATCAGTAGCTCTCTGCTGGCCATGGTGCTGAGCCCTCCCTCATTCATTCACTCATCCATCTGTTCCTCATGCACTCGTTCACTCAAAGGTAAGTCAGAATCCTTTGGGGCCAGAGGCATCTGGGAGTTCTGAATTTTTCAGGTTTTAGAAAGGTCACGGCACGTCCCATGTAGCGTGCAACGCCTCAGGCAAGGCGGGGGCTGCAGCCGCGCTCGAAGGCCCCATCGCTCCTTCTGCAGCAAAACTGCCCGGCCTCCCTCCCGCCGCTCAGGTCAGGGGCGCTGCCAAATGACTCAGGACAGACTTCTGATTCTCAGAGCTTTTCGGGTTTTGGCGCTGGTTGTGGATAGGAGATTGTGGACCTGCATTTATTGAATGCCTGTGTGTCTGAACTTTATGCCCACTTATTTACTCATTCAAGGAAACACTGGCTATAGGCTTAGGATCATTCATTCATTCAATAAATATTTATTGATTCCACAAGGTTTTAATAAATCCAAATAACTCCTCTGGAGATCCTTACAGCTCTCATTGCCATCTCACAGTTGATGAAACTGAACTCTGCAATATACTGTGCCCAACTTGGGTTCATGCATTCCTTCAGCAAACACTTACCAGCTCTTCAGTATCTCGTGTAGCCCAACAGCAATCCAATGGGAGAGGCATCTATAACAACCCCATTTCACAGCTGGGAAAACCGAGGCTTATGCGGGCTGCCCAATGTCGGCTCCACAGGGCAGAGATTTGGGGTCTCTTTCCTCAAGGGTGCACCCCAGCACCTAGAGCAGTGCCTGTGTATAGTAGGTGCTCATTAAGTATCTGATGAATGAATGAATGAATGCACAGATGGGGGCCACACAGCTCTCAGGAGGCAGGAGTCCCTACCTCAGTGCAACAGCTATCTGGGCCCATTTTCTGCCCCCAACTTATGTGACTAACCCTGTCCTCCTGCCCTTACCTGGGTCCCTGAGGACAGTCCCCAGGGTCCTGCCTGGCCCTGCACCGCCTCCCAGAGTGCAGGCTGTCCTCTGTCCTCCGGGTGCCGCCTGACTTTCCCCCACCTCCAGGGCCGCTGCACTTGGGTGAACCCTTTGCAGAAGAAGGAGGAGGAGGAGGAGCTAGGGGAGGAGGAAGAGAAGGCCGATGAGGGGATGGAGGAGGCGGAGCAGGAGATTGGGCCCCCTTTGCTGACGCCGCTCTCAGAAGATGCAGGTAAGGGTTTCCTCACCTTGTGCCACCAGCCGGAAGTGTGTGGGGGGGGTGGGGGAGGGGGGGATGAGAAAGGGCCAAGCGAGAACATTGCAGGGTCATCTCTCGGAGCCTAAGCTATTGTCTCACCTATAAAACGGACATCATGACAGGCTTCCTCCTGGGGTTACGGAAAGCGTCCACCTTGTGAGTTGCGTCTGGCGCAAAGGGCAGTGCCCACCTGGGGTGATGTGGGCTTGGGGAATGAGAGAGAGAGAGAGAGAGAGAGAAGAGAGAGAGAGTGTTAGGGGTTAGGGGGGCCTCCCCAGAAGAGGAGGAGCTTGGACGGGGTTTTGGAAGAAGGGACAGTCATCGCCTGAGGTTGGGGCCTCAGGCACCTGGAGGAAGCAGGAAGGGGAGGCTGAGATGAGAGTGGGCCTGGACAGAGCCCATGTGGCCCCTGTGCTGCCCTGTGCCTCTGGTCCAAACCAATGGCCACCGGAGGGAGAATGGCAGCCGATGGCCCAGATTACTACCTCCCTTCCGGGTGCAGGCACTGAGGCTCCCTGGGGCGCACGGGAGGAGGGTGGTCCGAGCAGGGTTCCAGCGCTGAAGCCCGTGCTGTTAGCCACCACAGTTCCCTCCACACCCCCCTTCATTTCCCCTCTTCACCCCGTCCCGCCCCTCCCTGGGCGGGTGGGGGGCTGTGCCGGGCGTGCGCACCCAGCAGTGGAGCCTCTGACCTCCTGATGCTCTTCACGTCCCCACAGAGATCATGCACATGCCGCCCTGGACCGCCCGCCTGTCCTGCGCCCTCTCCCCGCAGTACTCCGTGGCGATCGTGCGCTCCAATCTCTGGCCGGGGGCCTGTGCCTTCGCCGTGGGCAAGTAGGTCTCCTCCTCCTCCTCTCCCAGCAGAGGGCGCCCCACCAGGCCGGCTGGGCAGAGATTGGGAGGGAAGCCCCCCTTCAGGAAGCCCCCAAGGCTGAGCCCCTCACTCTGCTTCCAGGGGTTCCACTGGCCTAAATGAGAAATCCCAGACCAAGAGGGAAGCCCCTCGGATAAGAGAACGGGGGACCAGAGAGGGGAAGGGGCTGGCCCCAGGGAACACAGCATGTGCCGGATTCAAACTTGGGTCTCTGGTCCCCTGGGCTGTGCCGGGCGTGCGCACCCAGCAGTGGAGCCTCTGACCTCCTGATGCTCTTCACGTCCCCACAGAGATCATGCACATGCCACCCTGGACCGCCCGCCTGTCCTGCGCCCTCTCCCCGCAGTACTCCGTGGCGATCGTGCGCTCCAACCTCTGGCCGGGGGCCTGTGCCTTCGCCGTGGGCAAGTAGGTCTCCTCCTCCTCCTCTCCCAGCAGAGGGCGCCCCACCAGGCCGGCTGGGCAGAGATTGGGAGGGAAGCCCCCCTTCAGGAAGCCCCCAAGGCTGAGCCCCTCACTCTGCTTCCAGGGGTTCCACTGGCCTAAATGAGAAATCCCAGACCAAGAGGGAAGCCCCTCGGATAAGAGAACGGGGACCAGAGAGGGGAAGGGGCTGGCCCCAGGGAACACAGCATGTACAGGATTCAAACTTGGGTCTCTGGTCCCCTGGCCCAGGCTTCCCTGCTGTGGGCGTCACGGCTGCCGGGACTCAGGGTGGCCCTGACAAGAGCACTCTCCTCCCTGGGGGAGCTAACTGCTCCCCTGGGCCCCGTGGCCAGTTCTTCCCATTTGAAGGGTCTTCCTTCTCTGGGCCACACGTCTTCCCCGCCAGTTGCTCCCCAAGATTTTCAGGCCGAAATCACTTTTGCATCTTCCCACCGGCAGCTACACACTCCCACCAGCCTCTTAGCCCCTCGTACCAGGCACATCCCAGCCTTTCTGACCAGCCACTAGAGGGCGCCACCTGCGGCCACAGGGCGAGCGTGCTTACCAGGTCTGTCCACCAGATGGCATGGCGGTTTTTCATAGATACTCCTTTTCTATTCGCTACCATGATACACACAGTCGAGGTGGGAATTCATGTCATCTTGATACTTTAACCACATGCTTGGCAATTATTATTTTTCCTCCTCCAGAAGCAGGGAAGAGGCACGCTTGCTTTCGCCAGCACACTTCTGGCCACACCCTAATTTGCCAATATCCCTCTGAAAACAAAAGATCCAAATCGGGAGCTCCAGTCACCCATCCACCCTATATCCCCTAACCACTTATCTATCCACCCTCCCACCCAGTCATTCATCCATCCAGGCATCCATCCACTCATCTATCCATCCATTCATCCATCCTTTTTTTTTTCTTTTTTTCACTATGAAAGACTTGAATACCACTGTTTGCCAGCTGTGTGCTGGGCCCCAGGTCCTTTGTTGGAAAGGCAGACACGGATCCTGCCCTGGGAGCAGACACAGGAAACATGGACGTTAATTGTGTAACATTTCTCACCCCCCACTCACTCCTCCAGTCCGCAGGCCGACGCTCTATCCACCAAGCCAAACCGGTTTCGGCCTTTTTTTTTTTTTTTTTTTTCTCACTATGAAAGACTTGAATACCAGTTTGCCAGCTGTGTTGGAAAGGCAGACACGGATCCTGCCCTGGGAGCAGACACAGGAAACATGGACGTTAATTGTGTAACATTTCTCACCCCCCACTCACTCCTCCAGCAAACCCTCCCCCAAAATCCTGTTACAAACTAAGATGAATACCACTAAGGAGGATGGAGGGACCAATGGAGGGACAGCTTTTATCTGTCATGCCTGGAAGGGATCAAGGAAGGATTCCTGAGGAAAGCAGCCTTGATCTGAAATCTTTGGGGGAAGAAAGAAGTTATGGGGGGAGGGGAGTAGGCAGAAGGACAATCTAGACCCGAGTGTGTCACTCTGAGTGCTGGCACTCGCTGGGGCGTCTGGTTGAAGCTCAGGTCCTGGTGGCACGGGCCTGGGGTGGAGGCCCGGACTCTGCCTTCCTAGCAAGCTCAGCCTCCGGATCAGCAAGGTCAAAGTCAGACTGCTCCCATGACAACCTCTCCATCCCCATCTCTCCCGCTGTCTCTCTCTCTCCCTACTTCTCTCTGCCTCTCACCCTGTCTCTCAGTTTATTCTCCTATTTGCTCCTCTTTTCTTCCCCAGTTAAAACTGGGGAGAGGTGAGCCGGCCGGGACCCGACCGATTCTGTCCTGTGTATTACCTCCTCCCGTTAGGGCGCAGGCACCGCAGCAGGGATTCTGGTCAGCTTTGTCACTGCTAGCGAGGTCCCCACATCTAGACCAGTGCTGTCCATCATAGATGAAATAGGAGCCACATATGGCATTTTAAATTTCCCAGTAGCCTTACTCAAAAGGTAAAAATAGCCCTGGCCGGTTTGGCTCAATGGATAGAGCGTCGGCCTGTGGACTGAAGGGTCCCGGGTTTGATTCCTGTCAAGGGCACGTGCCCGGGTTGTGGGCTTGATCCCCAGTCCGGGGCGTGCAGGAGGCAGCCAATCAATGATTTTCTCTCATCATTGATGTCTCAGTCTCTTTCTCCCTTCCTCTCTCTGAAATCAATAAAAATATATATTTTTAAAAAGGTAAAAATAAACAGGCAACATTCATTTTAATATATTTTATTTAACCCCAAATACCCAAAATATTATTACAACATGAAATCAATAATGTAATAATGATTGACGAGCTATTTTACATTCTCCTCTTTCGTACTAAGTCTTTGGAATCCGAGCTGAGTTTGTGTTTACAGCACATCTCAATCTGGACCTAAATTTTTTTTTTTTTACCTAAATTTTAATTGGAAATACTTGACCTATATCCACAGTTCACAACCTTTACAATTGCAAAAGTAGACTCGTGTACCCAAGTTGTCCCGGTCATACTTAGATGTTTCCAATACTGAATTGAGTATTGGCTTCATTGTTTACATTTAAATGAATTAAAACTAAATAAAAATCCACTCCCCCCAACAACAGCAGAATACAGATTCTTCTCAAGTGCGCATGGAACATTCCCCAGGAGAGACGATATGCTAGGCCATAAGACAAGTCTTAATGGATTTGAAAGGACTGATCATAGAAAATAAGTTTTCTGACAACACTGGGATGCAATTAGAAATCAGTAACAGAGGGAAATTCACACACATGTAGAAATCAACGCATTCCTGAGTCACCAATGGGTCATAGAAGAAACCACAAATGAAATTAGAAAAGTAAATAAATTTAGCAATTCAGTGTTTGGGGTGTACTAGCCACGTTTCACGTGCGCAGTAGCCGTTGGACACAGTCTGGCCCTTAATATCCCCACAGTATTTAAGGAACAAATGAACAGAACAGCCTAGTGGGCACACGTCTCCCTACCCCACACAACTTTTCCATCCTGCCGTGTCTGCGCTGACTCCCACCCTCACGACCTCTAGGCGGGGGCCTGGGAGGGAGGACTTCCCAGTATCTCGCTGCCCCTCCAGGAAGTTTGAGAACCTGTACATCGGCTGGGGCCACAAGTACAGTCCGGACAACTTCAACCCGATGCTGCCACCGCCCATCCAGCAAGAGTACCCCAGCGGCCTGGAGATCATGGAGATGAGCGATCCCACGGTGGAGGAGGAGCAGGCCCTGAAGGCTGCCCAGGAGCAGGCCCTGGCGGCTGCGGAGGAAGAGGAAGAGGATGAGGAGGAAGATGAGGACGAGGACCCGGAGGACTGAGGCCCGACAGGCCCCTCCCCCAACCAGGTAGATAGATAGATAGCGCGTTGTTCCTTATACATAGTTATGAGCTATTTTTTCACTGTTAGTTTGCTCTCTGCCCCTGGAAGGCAGCTGCTCTGAATGAAATGTTCCCATGGCATTACGACCCGGTCATTTATTCATTTGCTCACCAATCTGTTGGCACGACCTCCGCGTCGGGGCTCTCGGGCTCTGCGGGGAACACTGACACTGCTCTGCGTAGTCTCTCCCCTCTGTTTCACTTACTCATTCATCTGGACCTGAAATGCCTCTGTGAGCCTAGGCCTGTGTGCTCAGTTGGTGGGAGCGTTGTCCTGTGCTCCGAGGGTTCTATTTCCGGTCAGGGCACATACCTAGGTTGCAGGTTCGATCCCCGGAGGGGGCAAATACACAGGAGGCAACCCACTGAGGTTTCTCTTTCACATCGATGTTCTCTCTCTCTCCTTTCCCCTCTCTCTAAATGGGCATGTCCTTGGGTGAGGATTTAAAAAAATGAAAAGCCTCCTGTCAGCTCAGTCCAGCCCAGGGGACACAGAGATGACCAAGCAGCCTCTGCTTTCTCATGGCTCTTACTCTACAGGGGAGATGGGAGCGTCCCAGGCAATGACAACCCAGACGGTGCTGCCGGGAGGACTGACAGAGCCCCTCAGCTGACTCTTAAAGGGTCAGGAGCAGCCCTGGCTGGGTAGCTCTGTCGCTTAGAGCATCAACCCGATATGCTAAGTTTGCAGGTTTGATCCCTGGTCAGGGCACATACAAGAATCAACCAATGAATGAATAAGTGAAACAACAAATCGATCTCTCTCTCCCTTCCTCTTTCCCAACTTAATAAAAAAAAAAAGGGGGGGCCCTAACCAGTTTGGCTCAGTGGATAGAGTGTAGACCTGTGGACTGAAGGGTCCCAGGTTCGATTCCAGTGAAGGGCATGTACCTTGGTTGTGGGCACATCCCCAGTAGGGAGTGTGCAGGAAGCAGCTGATCGATGTTTCTCTCTCATCGATGTTTCTAACTCTCTATCCCTCTCCCTTCCTCTCTGTAAGAAATCAATAAAATATATTTTTTAAAAAAGAGGGGGAGGGGGTGAATGACAGAGTGGGGAAGGGCATTCCAAGCAGAGGAACAGCATGTGCAGAGGCCCAAGGGTAAGAGAGAAGGTGATGTACTGAGGTAGCTTCTCGAACCTCATTTTTGGGGACATGTTGTGAGGAGTTAGTAGTGAGAGATGTGACAGGAAAGCAGTTGGCAGGAAATAGATCGTTCAGGGCTTAACTTTGCCCTGAGAGCACTAGGGAGCCACAGATGGACTTTTCAGCAGGGGAGGGCCTGGTCATGTTTGTGCTTAAGACATACCTCTCTAGATGCCACGGGGAGGGTAGACAGGAGAGTGAGACAGGAGCCTGGGAGAGCAGAAATAAGGCTGGTTCAGGGCCCGGAGCAGGAGAGGAGCAGGTTGGACCATGGCTGTGCAGAGGAAGGGGCTGGAAACGAGGATTTTAGGTGACAGAATGCAAGACCTGAGGACAGGAAGTGGGGGGCGGGAGGGAAGGATTGTACAAATCTAGGCAGACACTCAGGTCTGGGGGGTGATAGTGCTGGCCCTAAGAATGGGTCACAGGAGAGGAGCAGGATTTGGAGTAAGATGTCAAGTTAGTTCATTGTAGGACTTGTTGAGTGTGAGTGAGATGCCCCTGGGACGTTTGGTGACCAATCTGGGAGGCCACTGAAAAAGTGGGTCTTGGAATATCTGTGATGGGGCAGCGTGGCTTCAGCAGAAGTCAGGGGCACTGGCTACCTGTGGGCACGGCTGGGACCAGGAGGAGGTTCAGGGTGACTGGGGAGCTTACGGGGCCCAGTGAAATATTGGAATCGAAGGTGGGTGTTGGAGGACCGAGTGAGATTGTTGAAGACAGTGAGTCATGGAGATACATATTGGAGGTTGGTGGGAAGCATGGAGATGTTTGGGGTTGGTATTAACCAGTAGTGGGCCAGATGAAGTCCTCAGAGTATTTTTTTTAACATTTTTTAAAACGTATTTTTATTGATTTCGGAGAGGAAGGGAGAGGGAGAGAGAGAGAGAGAGGGAGAAACATCAATGATGAGAGAGAATTATTGATCATCTGCCTCCTGCACGCCCCCCTCTGGGGATCGAGCCCGCAACCCAGGCATGTGCCCTTGACCAGAATGAACCCGGGACCCTTCAGTCCACAGGCCGACGCTCTATCGACTGAGCCAAACCAGCCAGGAAGTCCTCGGAGTTTTATGGAGACTTGAGATCAGTGAGGTTTGGGGGATCATCAGGGGTGCGGAACAATGGCTGGCGAAGCTGTGGCCAGTGGGGGAGAGTAGACGTCCGTGGGAAACACTGGAAGTCAGGAGGGTGTGTGTCGAGAGTCTCTGGAGACACTGGGATCATCTGGGGTCATCTGTGCGGTCACAGGGAGACCAGGGCAGGAAAGAGGCCTTCTCTGGAGGGTTTCTCCGTTGCTAGGCAAACGGTTCCCAGGGCGCCGTTGCTAGGGACCTGTTCTTTTTAAATGCCACGCCCCTTCCCTGCGGCCCCGCCCCCGCAGCCAACCACACGGTCGTCTCCGGCACGAAGGCCACGCCCACCTTCTCGCCCCGCCCGGAGACCCAGGACCGTTACCCGAGCGACAGCCGGGCTTGTCCCTCCTCCCGGCCCCGTTGCCAATCAAGGAGACGTCGTCCGGGCGACGA